CCCCAGTGTGTACTTGGGTTCACGTATATATCCTGCCACAGTGTGTACTTTGGGTTCACGTATATATCCTCCCACAGTGTGTACTTGGGTTCACGTATATATCCTGCCACAGTGTGTACTTGGGTTCACGTATATATCCTCCCACAGTGTGTACTTGGGTTCACGTATATATCCTGCCACAGTGTGTACTTGGGTTCACGTATATATCCTCCCGCAGTGTGTACTTGGGTTCACGTATATATCCTCCCACAGTGTGTACTTGGGTTCACGTATATATCCTGCCACAGTGTGTACTTGGGTTCACGTATATATCCTCCCACAGTGTGTACTTGGGGTTTACGTATATATCCTGCCACAGTGTGTACTTGGGTTCACGTATATATCCTCCCGCAGTGTGTACTTGGGTTCACGTATATATCCTCCCACAGTGTGTACTTGGGTTCACGTATATATCCTCCCACAGTGTGTACTTGGGTTCACATATATATCCTGCCACAGTGTGTACTTGGGTTCACGTATATATCCTGCCACAGTGTGTACTTGGGTTCACGTATATATCCTCCCACAGTGTGTACTTGGGTTCACGTATATATCCTGCCACAGTGTGTACTTGGGTTCACGTATATATCCTGCCACAGTGTGTACTTGGGTTCACGTATATATCCTCCCACAGTGTGTACTTGGGTTCACGTATATATCCTCCCACAGTGTGTACTTGGGTTCACATATATATCCTGCCACAGTGTGTACTTGGGTTCACGTATATATCCTGCCACAGTGTGTACTTGGGTTCACGTATATATCCTCCCACAGTGTGTACTTGGGTTCACGTATATATCCTCCCACAGTGTGTACTTGGGTTCACGTATATATCCTGCCACAGTGTGTACTTGGGTTCACGTATATATCCCGCCACAGTGGTGTACTTGGTTCACGTATATATCCTCCCACAGTATGTACTTGGGTTCACGTATATATCCTCCCACAGTGTGTACTTGGGTTCACGTATATATCCTGCCACAGTGTGTACTTGGGTTCACGTATATATCCTGCCACAGTTCGGGCTGGTGTGCGGGAAGGCCTACCTCCGAGCCACCTTCCAGAGCGTCTACATGTTCTCGACCATCTTCAGCTCTCTCATCAATGGCTACATAGCAGATAAGTAAGAGTCCTCTGTGTGCGTTGATGCTCTTGATCCAGAGAGCTGCAACTACCTTCCTCTTCCTTGGATCAAGACTGACAACCTCAGTGGCGTTATATGGCACTTGCGAGTTTAGAGCTTTTCTATGAATGTAATAGTGATTTTTTTTCTCCTACGTACAGTCAGTAAAAAGGTACCTACAGCCGGTAGAAAGGTACCTACAGTCAATATAAAGGCGCCTACAGTCAGTAGAGAGGTACCTACAGTCAGTAGAAAGGTACCTACAGTCAGTAGAAAGGCGCCTACAGTCAGTAGAGAGGTACCTACAGTCAGCAGAAAGGTACCTGCAGTCAGTAGAAAGGCACCTACTGTCAGTAGAAAGGTACCTACAGTCTGTAGAAAGGCACCTACAGTCAGTAGAAAGGCACCTACTCCCGGTAGAAAGGTTCCTACAGTCAATAGAAAGGTACCTACAGTCAAAAGAAAGGTATCTACAGTCAGTAGAAAGGCACCTACAGTCAGTAGAAAGGTACCTACAGTCAGTAGAAAGGTACCTACAGTCAGTTGAAAGGTACCTACAGTTAGTAGAAGGGTACCTACAGTAGGTAGAAAGGTACCTACAATCAACAGAAAGGTACCTAATGTCAGTAGAAAGTACCTACAGCCAGTAGAAAGGTACCTACAGTCAATAGACGGGTACCTACAGTCAGTAGAAAAGTACGTACAGTCAATAGAAAGATACAGTCAGTACAAAGGTACCTACAGTCAATAGAAAGGTACCTACAATCAATAGAAAGGTACCTACAGTCAATAGAAAGGTACCTACAGTCAATAGAAAGGTACCTACAGTCAATAGAAAGGTGCCTTCAGTCAATAGTAAAGTACCTACGGTCAATAGAAAGGTACCTACAGTCAATAGAAAGGTACCTACAGTCAATAGTAAGGTACCTACGGTCAATAGAAAGGTACCTACAGTCAATAGAAAGGTACCTACAGTCATTAGAAAAGTACTTACAGTCAATAGAAAGGTACCTACAGTCAATAGTAAGGTACCTACGGTCAATAGAAAGGTACCTACAGTCAATAGAAAGGTACCTACAGTCATTAGAAAAGTACTTACAGTCAATAGAAAGGTACCTACAGTCATTAGAAAAGTACTTACAGTCAATAGAAAGGTACCTACAGTCATTAGAAAAGTACTTACAGTCAATAGAAAGGTACCTACAGTCAATAGAAAGGTACCTCCCCATCCTCATTCTTGTCATCCCTCTTAAAGCATAATCAAAACAAACTGGTAGACAGATACTCGCAGAAAATTTTCATATACACTAAATTTGGTTTCAAAGCCGCAACAAAACTTCTTCCAGAGCGAAGGAAAATGTATTGTGAGGAGAGACTAAAAGAAAAGAAAAGTAACGATATTGAAAGAGAAAAAGACAAGGAGTGGAATAATCTCAGTGTACAAGGAAGACAATAAGAGACAATGATGGTGTAAAAGATACTAAGAGATAATGATAGTGTACCAGATACTAAGAGCCAAAGGAGAATTAGGAAACGCTACTTAAGTATGTCTGGCAAAAATTGTAACAACACACTAGTAATCAACTCGATGATAGGAGGGTTCGACCCCCTGGCAAGCTGGTCCTGAAACTAGCAAGCCAGTCTTTATAATTATAATGGAACGTAGTCTACGAAGCTTTGTCCTGCACTTAAAACGGGATTTTCTTAGGAAGAAAGCAGGCTTAGTAAGCATATCTGGGAGCTGAATACCGGCGTGAACGTGGAGTCAGCATGCCCTATAACAGGGCACTCTATCAAAAGTAGTTGGACAATTAGAGTGACATGGCACTCCTCACAGAGTGACGCAGGTCGTCCCTCTCAGTGAGATGGTCATGAGTGTATTTCATGTGACCATCGCCGAGTCGTGAGCGTTCTCTTTACTACAAGCGACAACGACAGAAACACACTCAGAATTCTCTTTACAACAAGGGACTACAGAAACACACCGAGTTTCTTTACTACAAACGACAACAACAGAAACAAACAGATAGTTCTCTTTATTACAAGCAACAACGACAGAAGCCCACCGCGAATACCTTTACTACAAGCGACAACGACATAAATACACCCATAAATCTATAGACTGGGAAAGGTAGGCGGGAGGATGCAGAAGGGGGACATATTTCAGCCAAATTACCAGAGCTTCTGCAGATTCGGACAAAATGAGGAAATAATAAATGACAGCAATTTTGGTGAAAAAACTAATCATTGAAAACTCGCATTTTCTTTTCACTTGAAGCCTCGCGTATACCATGTAAATTTTTATTTGTTCGATATATGCAATACATTCGAACACAATATACATCGGCATAGTTTGTATGTGAACTTTGAGATGAGGATGGTGAGCGATAGTGAGAAAATGATCTACAACTCCTGCTATGACCACAAGAATTAGTTTGGCCTATTACAGTGTACATTCCTTCCGATTCCTTAATTCAGTCAGTATTAAGAGTTAGATCCGCCTCAACAGAATCAGTTACAAGTCGAAATGTACCTTGACGTTCCATGTGTTATTCTTTGTTTTTAGATGTACTTGACTACCTTGATGTATATTTTATCAACCTATCAACCTTAAATATATTCTATTAACCTTGAGTATATTTTGTCAACCTTGAGTATATTTTATCAACCTTGAATGTATTCTATTAACCTTGAATATATTTTATTAACCTTGAGTATATTTTACCAATATAACGCTGTCACGTAAGCATTTGAAAATACGCTTTGTGGCTCTGGGCGCAGGAATAGTAACATGTGGCCATGGGCAAACATGTGGCCATGGGCAAACATGTGGCCATGGGCAAACATGACTCGCAAGCACACCAGTTCTTACGAAGTCTCTGTGCGTGTTGTTACAGGTATGGTCGAAAAGTGGTGGTGGTGGTATCAATGGGACTCTTCTCTCTCATCTCCTTGGTTCTGACCTTCGTCACCAACTACCAGGTCATCCTAGCTCTTCGCTTCTTCATGGGAGCTCTGTCGTCAGCTACTCTCTACATGCTGTGTAAATATTTCGTCTGCCTTGATTTGCATTATATGTTAATGAGTGATGTACCTAAAAATACACGTTATGGAACACAGTTCATCAGGACAACGTTTCGCTCTGTGTGGATCTTCATCAAGTCATGATGACGAAACCTTGCTTGTGGTTCAAGACACCTGCTATACAAAGTGCGTAACGTTGTCCCAGTGATAGCTGGCTCTCTACCATGTGTGTCTAAGTCTTCGTACCTCTCTGTAATACTCATATACAACCTTAAACTTGATCAACATAATTTTTCGACATGTATCGTAGCGTATATCAACGTCTCTGTAATAAATCAGTCACCAATATCAGGATTCATTTCCGGAAAACTACAGGAATGAAACCTGATGATGGCGAGGGATTTATCGTCGAAACTTTGAAATGCTCTTCAGTAAATGTCCTAAGAAGTTCTCCTAATATAATAATAATAATAATCTTAATTCCTACAAGTACATGTACAAGGTATACAGGCCTAGTTGACATCAATGACATACTATTATATGGAAAGCCCCTTGTTATTCAGAATATTTCAGGCAAATTAGGTCAATTTTGTCCCCAGGATGAGACTCACACCAGTCGACTAACACCCAGGTACCTATTGTACAGATGAGTGAAAAGGGACAGCAGGTGTCTTACGGTAAGACGTCCTAATGTCTCCACTTGTAACTGGAGTGTGAGTTGTGTGCACTACCTCGTGCCTTGAGTATATTTTACACGTTTCCTTACACCTGTTGTCCTGTTCACCTAGCAGCAAATAGGTACCTGGGTGTTAGTCGACTGGTGTGGGTCGCATTCTGGGGGACAAGATTGAGGACCCCAATGGAAATAAGTTAGACAGTCCTCGATGACGCACTGACTTTCTTGGGTTATCCTGGGTGGCTAACCATTCGAGATTAAAAATCCGAACGAACTCTTATCTTATCTTATCAATCCAGCTGCAGGACACCTTAGTCTCTCCCACCAGACAAAATTGTAATTCTCAACGGTAATTGAGAGATATGTTTGTATATGTGTTTGTGTATATATATACAAACGTGTGTTTGTTTACAGCTATGGAGGTATGTGAGGTGAAGCAGAGGTCGGTGGTGGGAGTGGTGCTAGGCCTACCGTGGGCCATAGGAACTATGTGTTGGGGAGCCTTGGCCTACGGCATCAGAGACTGGAGATGGTTACAAGCCATCTCTTCCTTCCCCTTCCTCATTATCATCCCAGTTCTATTGTGAGTACACTTATAGTGTATGTACACTGATATCAACACTTCAAGACACACTCACACATACACACACACACACACACACACACACACACACACACACACACACACACACACACACACACACACACACACACACACACACACACACACTAGTTTGGAACCCACACCTAGCCAAGCACGTAAAGAAACTAGAGAAAGTGCAAAGGTTTGCAACAAGACTATTCCCAGAGCTAAGGGGTATGTCATACGAGGAGAGGTTAAGGAAAATCAACCTGACGACACTGGCGGACAGGAGAGATAGGGGGGGACATGATAACGACATACAAAATACTGAGAGGAATTGACAAGGTGGACAAAGACAGGATGTTCCAGAGATGGGACACAGTAACAAGGGGACACAGTTGGAAGTTGAAGATACAGATGAATCACAGGGATGTTAGGAAGTATTTCTTTAGCCACAGAGCAGTCAGGAAGTGGAATAGTTTGGGAAGCGATGTAGTGGGGGCAGGATCCATACATAGCTTTAAGCAGAGGTATGATAAAGCTCACGGTTCAGGGACCAGTGAAGAGGCAGGGCCAGAAGCTAGGACTCGACCCCTGCAACCTCAACTAGGTGACTACACACACACACACACACACACACACAACACACACACACACACACACACACACACACACACACCACACACACCACACACACACACACATATATATATATATATATATATATATATATATATATATATATATATATATATAAATATATATATATACATATATATATATATATATATATATATATATATATATATATATATATATATATATATATATATATATATATATATATATATTCTCGCTTACCATGAGGCAGGCCAGTACAACATGGGTTCGAATCCTTGCCTAGCGCTGTGTTGTTATTGATCAATACCACTCATTCGTGGTTACAATATATATATATATATATATTATATATATATATATATATTATATATATATATATATATATATATATATATATATATATATATATATATATATGTATGTATGTATGTAATATACATATATATATATATATATATATATATATATATATATATTATATATATATATATATATATATATATATATAATATATATATATATATATATATATATATATATATATATATATATATATATATATATAATGTGTGTGTGTGTGTGTGTTTGTGTGTGTGTACTCACCTATTTGTGGTTGCAGGGGTCGAGTCTTAGCCCCTGGCCCCGCCTCTTCACTGATTGCTACTAGGTCCTTTCTCCCCCTGCTCCATAGCTTTATCATACCTCGTTCTTAAAACTATGTATGGTTCCCGCCTCCACTACGTCACTTTCTAGGCTATTCCACGGCCTGACTACTCTGTGACGGGAAGGGAAATACTTCCTAACATCCCTTTGATTCATCTGAGTCTTCAACTTCCAATTGTGACCTCTTGTTTCTGTGGTCCATCTCTGGAACATCCCGTCTTTGTCCCCTTTGTCTTTTCTCCGCGCAGTATTTTTATGTCGTTATCATGTCCCCCTGACCCTCATGCCCTCCAGTGTCGTCAGGGCGATTTCCCTAACCTTTCTTCGTAGGACAATCCCTTAGCTCGGGTACTAGTCTTGTTTCAAACCTTTGCACTTTCTCTAATTTATTGACGTGCTTGACTTTGATGTGGATTCCAAACTGGTGCTGCTTTCTCCATTTTGGGGGCCCGACGTAAATGGTATACAGAGTCTTGAAAGATTTCCCTTTTGAGGTATCGGAACGCTATCCGTAGGTTTGCCAGACGCCCATATGCTGCAGCAGTTATCTGATTGATGTGCGCCTCAGGAGATGTGCTCGGTGTTATACTCACCCCCAGATCTTTTTCCTTGAGTGAGGTTTGCAGTCTTTGGCCATCTAAACTATATTGTGTCTGCGGTCTTCTTTGCCCTTCCCCAATCTTCATGACTTTGCATTTGGCAGGGTTAAACTCAAGGAGCCAGTTGCTGAACCAGGCTTGTAGCCTGTCCAGGTCCCTTTGTAGTCCTGCCTGATCCTCGTTCGATTTGATTCTTCTCATTAACTTCACATCATCTGCAAACAAGGACACTTCTGAGTCTATCCCTTCCGTTATGTCATTCACATATACCAAAAACAACACAGGTCCTAGGACTGACCCCTGTGGAACCCCGCTTATCACAGGCGCCCACTCTGACACCTCGTGATGTACCATGACTCGTTGTTGCCTCCCTGTCAGGTATTCTCTGATCCATTGCAGTGCCTTTCCTGTTATGTGTGCCTGATCCTCTAGCTTTTGCAGTAACCTCTTGTGAGGAATTGTGTCGAAGGCCTTCTTGCAGTCCAAGAAAATGCAGTCGATCCACCCCTCTCTCTCTTGTCTTACTTCTGTCACCTTGTCATAAAACTCTAGTAGGTTTGTGACACAGGAATTCTTTCCAGGTGCTCCACCACTCTCCTCCTGATGATCTTCTCCATGACTTTGCATACTATACACGTTAGTGACACAGGTCTGTAGTTTAATGCCTCATGTCTGTTTCCCTTTTTAAAAATTGGGACTACATTTGCCATCTTCCATACCTCAGGGAGTTGCCCAGTTTCAATGGATGTGTTGAAGATCTTTGTTAATGGCACACACAGCATCTCTGCTCCTTCTCTAAGGATCCATGGAGAGATGTTGTCTGGTCCCACTGCCTTTGAGGTGTCAAGTTCACATAGCAGCTTCTTCACCTACTCCTTGGTGATGTGTAACTCGTCCAGCATTTGTTGGTGTACCTCCCTGTTCTGAATTCCTGGAGACCTACTGGTTACCACTGTAAATACTTCTTTAAATCTCGTGTTGAGCTCTTCACATACCTCTCGGTCGTTTCTTGTGAATTCCCCATCACCCTTCCTCAGTCTGATTACCTGGTTCTTGACTGTTGTTTTCCTCCTGATGTGGCTGTACAACAGCTTCGGGTCAGACTTGACTTTCGATGCTATGTCATATTTATACTGTCGCTGAGCCTCCCTTCTTATCTGTGCATATTCGTTTCTGGCTCTTCGGCTAATCTCTTTACCTTTTTCATTCTCTAGTACACCTAGTTTTTGCCTCCCTACACCTTTGGGTGAACCAAGGACTCGTTCTGTTCTTCCCATTATTTCTGTTTCCCTTGGAACAAACCTCTCCTCTGCCTCCTTGCATTTTGTTGTCACATAGTCCATCATTTCTTGTACTGGTTTTCTTGACAGTTCTCTCTCCCACTGAATGTCTTGCAGGAAGTTCCTCATGCCTGAGTAGTTCCCCCTTTTGTAGTTTGGTTTTCCCATCCTATTCCTGCTACTCTCTCCACTTGGAGCTCAGCTATGTAGTCAAAGAATAGAACTATATGATCACTAGCTCCTAGGGGCCTTTCATACATGATATCCTTGATGTCCGAACTACTCAAGGTGAATACAAGGTCCAGTCTTGCTGGATCATCCTCACCTCTCTCTCTGGTAGTGTCTCTAACATGTTGATGCATGAGGTTTTCCAGTACCACATCCTTCATCTTGGCTCTCCATGTTTTGGGACCCCTATTGTGCTCCAGGTTTTCCCAGTCAATCTCCTTGTGATTGAAATCACCCATAACTAGTAACTTTGCTCATCCCATGTGAGCTCTTCTGGCCACCTCGGCTAGTGTGTCGACCATTGCTCTGTTTCTCTCATCGTATACTTCTCTTGGCCTCCTGCAGTTCTGTGGTGGGTTGTACATTACTGCAATTATCACCTTATGTCCCTCAGACTGGATTGTTCCTACTAAGTAGTCCCTTTCGCCTGTGCCATCCATTCCTTCCATTTTCTCAAAACCCCACTGGTTTTTAATGACCAGTGCAACTCCTCCTCCCCCTCTCCTCCCTCTGCCTTTCCTGAGGATTTGATATCCGGGTGGAAAGATTGCATCTGTTATCATTCTGGTGAGTCTTGTTTCTGTGAGTGCTATTATGTACTCACCTAGTTGAGGTTGCGAGGGTCGAGTCCGAGCTCCTGTGTGTGTGTGTGTTTGTGTGTGTTGTTGTTGTGTGTGTGTGTGTGGGGTGTGTGTGTGGGTTGTGGTGTGTGTGTGTGTATGTGTGTGTGTACTCCCCTATTTGTGGTTGCAGGGGTCGAGTCTTAGCTCCTGGCCCCGCCTCTTCGCCGGTTGCTACTGGGTCCTCTCTCTCCCCGCTCCATGAGGTTTATCAAACCTCGTCTTAAAACTGTGTATGATTCCTGCCTCCACTACGTCATTTTCTAGGCTATTCCACTGCCTTACAACTCTATGACTGAAGAAATACTTCCTACTATCTCTCTGACTCATTTGTGTCTTCAACTTCCAATTGTGGCCTGTGTGTGTGTGTGTGTGTGTGTGTGTGTGTGTGTGCTTAACAATTTGCAGACAGGTGAAGTTGGATGATAGCTCTAGGGAGCTTGCAATGTTGCAGAGATGAGAAGAAAGTCCAAGTAGTTTCGTTCAGCGGAACAATTCGAGCTAGAATCACTCCCCTGAACGAAATAATTGGGTTCCTACTCAT